TGGAGCGCACAAGATATTTGTGAAACGGAGCAAGCGGTAAAACTATGTAAATCGAGCTATATAATAAACGGACCAAGTGATTTTCCTGTATGTGCTGTTTAATTTATTAGCAATTGCCTACAGTTTATCAGAAGTGGGATGAATCGGCGTTGTTAAAAGAACATATAATCGAGTTGTTTTTTTGGACTAATACGTATCGGGACTAATATCGATATTGATCATCTGAGAACGTGCTAGAACCGGAAGTGCGTCGCGGTGAGGAATGTTCTCGAACTTTCGAAGTCGATAAGTCAGCAGAAGTGCGAGTAACCGAAATTCGGAGTGCCGCCTGTGTTATTGATTGGTAGCCTGGTGTTTCCGACCCGCAAAGCGTTTCGATCCTGGATACGATAATCGGTAATCAAGAATCTCTTGACTGTCGACGTCAGTAGGATGAACCGGGAAACGATAGAGGCATTATCAATCAATGATCTGCGGGCGCACGCAGCGCGCTTAAAACTCGACACGAAGGGATCACGTGCAAACATTTTCGACACCGTTGTGAATCATTACGAACGAGTAGGATGGCCAGAGGCGAACTCCGAAGATCTTTTGAAAGAAAGAAATAATGTGCCCCTCCTACCCCTGAATAATGTGGCGATTATAGAGAGACGCGAGATGACAGATGATCAGTCATCTACCTCGACTCCGTTTTCCGGAGTAGAAATTCCTAAGGACCGTACGAATGCTAACACAATCCCGAACATTGAACAGGTGGTGGAAACAGTGATGCGGGCTTTGCGGCGGACATCTTCGTCCTCACCGGTGAGCTTGACCCGCCGGGATTCCGATGACGCAAGCATTTTGATGCGAAACGGAAGTGGACCATCAAATATGTGGCAAAGCGTGAAGTGTGCTGAGAAACTGATTCCAACTTTCTTGGGTAAGGAAAACGAAAACGTGCTGAGATGGCTGGAGAGAATCGCGCGGACATACCAATTTGGCGATGAGGTCTTGTTGCTTGCTTCCGTGAGTCAATTAAAGGAGCGCGCTTTGAATTGGTATAATCGACAGCCGCTCGAATCAGTGTCGACCTGGGAAGAATTTAAATTTCAATTGAGGCGGTATTTCGAGAGCAAAGAGTCCTATGCCGCAACGTTAGCGCGAATCAGCGCCCGCGTCTGGAAATCTCACGTCGAGAAGTTTATCGACTATGCTGAGGCAAAATTAAATCTCATGCAATTATTAACGCTGTCAGAAAAAGAGAAAATTGAGCTCTTGGCTGACGGTGTAAAGAATTTCGGCGTGCGGAGACTTGTATTGAACACGTGGATCGATAACGTTCCCGATTTTATCGATCACGTGCGTCGAATCACAGAGAACAACGTTATTATGAAGAGAGGGGAGCCGCTCAAATACGCTGCCAGGAGGACTGACGGCCAGAGTACAACGTCGGAAATAAAATGTTTCACTTGCAAGAAGCCCGGTCATTTGTCAAAGGATTGTCGATTCGCCGCGCAACCTGTTTCAGGTGTGGACAAACAGGGCACATGAGCAATAGTTGCCCGAGAAGGGCGGGCAGCCGAGCAGCCACATTAAACCACTTGGAGGAGGAACGAGCGGCGCACATGGCTGCTCCGTCATCGACGACTCCGTTGCGGCCGAGCGGCGACGTCTTGCAGATCGGGGTGGAATCCGGAGCAAGGCCATGTATTGTAATTCGTAGAGCATGTAACGATAGAATAACCATTCGCGCATTGATTGATACGGGTAGTCCGGTTAATTTAATTAAAAGATCGGTATATGAGAAATTATTTGGTAATCGCGAGTTGCTCAAGGTTAAAAAAGAAAGTGATTATAAGGGAATCAACGAGTCGCCCATATTGATTTTTGGTAAAGTGTACGATCAGATTACGCTTGATAGCATAAGGGATACATGGTTCGACATTGCTCTTTTAGTAGTTGATGACAAAACGATGCGCGACGACGTCATTATTGGGCGAGAGTTTATTAATAATTCTGGTCTAAAGTTAACATATCATAAAGACAGTTTTGCATTTGAATTTGTTGACGACCTTGAGCAGTTCGCGCAGGATCTGTTGTCTATAAACATAGTTGAAAATAGAGAACCCCGCGATGTTATTGTCGAAAGTTTAGATAAAGATCTGAGTTTGAGCGATCAACGCGATTTATTGGAGACTTTTGCGGAGGTAGATAATATGAAAGTTGATAGAATAGAAACTGATGATGAAATTCATGATCATGCGTTGAAGGCTAGTCCGCTGCAGGCGCTGCTTAAAAAAGATGAGTCATTCGCGTTTGACGAGCAATGCGTACAAGCATTTTGGGGTCTTAAGGAGGAATTGGTGACGTCGCCTGTATTATGTATATATAGTCCCTCGGCGGAAACAGAACTGCATACGGATGCTAGTAGCCACGGTTTCGGTGCGATTTTGCTGCAAAAACAACCTAATGGCCGTCTGGGCCCGATAGCGTATTTCAGTTGTGCTACCACGGACGTCGAAAAGAATTACCACAGTTATGAACTGGAGACATTGGCCGTTATTAGGGCTGTCGAGCGTTTTCACGTGTATTTGCAAGGTGTTAACTTCCGAATCGTAACTGATTGTAATTCGTTGGTGTTAGCTATGAAGAAGATCAACATAAATCCGAGAATAGCGCGGTGGAGTTTAACTCTACAAAATTATAAATTCGAGTTAATACACAGGGCATCGGGTAAAATGACGCACGTGGATTGCCTGAGTCGTTTTATCGCGAATGTAAATATAATCTCAATAGAGGACGAATTAATGTACAAACGGTTGGCTGACCCTAGAATCAAAGAAATAGCGGAAGAACTGGAAACCAGGGAGCATAAGTGCTTCGTGTTGATGGAAGGCTTGGTTTTTCATAAGAGTGTAGATAAAAACTTATTCGTTGTTCCTGAAAATATGATCAATAACGTTATACGCATCTATCACGATGAAATGGGACACGTCGGTATAGATAGAACGATACACGGCCTTACAGATCACTATTGGTTTCCATGTCTTAAATTGCGTGTTAAACAATATATCGAAAACTGCGTTAAGTGTTTAAGTTTTTCGTTGGCGGGGGGGAAATCCGAGGCAGAGTTAAAAATCGTCGAGAGAGTGGCTGTACCATTTCACACCCTGCACATTGATCATTTCGGGCCGTTGGAAACCGCCGCATACAAATACAGGTATATCTTGGTGATGGTGAATGCTTTCACCAAATTTACTTAGCTTTATGCAACTAAAACTACTAACGCGGAAGAGGTAATAAAATCTCTAAGTAATCTTTTTGATTTATTTGGAATTCCGGAAAGAATTATAAGTGATCGGGGAACGGCCTTTTCTTCAGGGAATTTCGCTCAGTTCCTAGGCGAAAGAAAAATTGAACACGTCGTGGTAGCAGTTGCGTCCCCGTGGGCAAACGGGCAGGTTGAAAGGGTCAATCGTTTTTTAAAATCGACATTAGCGAAAATGTGCAAAAAGCCAGCCGACTGGAAAAGCGAGTTAGGAGCTGTGCAATTTGTCATCAACAATACGTTCCATAGATCAATCAATACTACACCGAGCAAATTATTGTTAGGGTACGATCAGCGTCGGAAATCTGACAACGAGTTGAGAGAACTAATCGATAGACTAACGCAGGTAGACGTAAATATTGAGCGAGAAAGAGCGGAGCTGCGAGACTCCGCACAAATAGCGAACCGAGCCGTGCATGAGTACAACAAGGTGCAATACGATAGGAAACATAAAAAGCCGACGCGGTATAAAGAGGGAGATTTTGTTCTCGTTAGAGTTTTACAGCATAAACCGGGCATAAACCAGAAATTACTACCAAAGTATAAAGGTCCGTACCAAATTAGGGCAATTCTTAATAAAAATAGATTCGTAGTGACGGACATACCGGGGTATAATCTCACATCAAAACCAATGAATACAATTCTTTCGTCGGACAAAATAAAGCCGTGGATAAAAATAAACGAAACTGGTATTAATCCTGACAATGTAAGCGATGACTAGGCGTAAATAAATTGTAATTAAGATAATTGACGAATGTAAGGAAACAGATAACACGACGAGTATCTCTTTATAGATAAACATGAACGTATTTATTAATAAATTATTGGACATAGTTCGAGGACGAACTAAAAGGTCAGAATGGCCGAAGCTGTAGGCGCCGAATTGATGTATTATA